TCTCCTACTCTGGAGGTCTTCAAAACCCACCTGGATGCCGCCCTGTGCCACATGCGGTAGGTGTGCCTGCTTGAGCAGGAAGGTTGGACTAGATGATCTGTAGAGGTCCCTTCCAACCTTAAATATTCTGTGATTCTGTGAATCTGTGATTCTGTGATTCTCTCAAGTATTTTAAGCCAGCATTGAATCATACTGTTAACTTTTCTTTTAAAACTCTTTCGGAAATAAACCCCTTATATATAAGGATGATAGCACTGCCTTTGAAAGAATTAAAATTTAGAACTATTCAATATGCCAAATGTCAAAGCAAGAAGTAAGACATAGTTGAGGATATTTATGTTTTTACATTTATGAACAGAGACAGCASCTTTATAAAACCTTAACTTTTACACCATATTTTAAAAATAGAGACAAAGTAATTTTCTGAAAGAATTAAACATTCCAAGCTTTWCAGTAACTTTAAATTCAACTTACACTGCTCTTGACATCTTTCAGTTTTGGCAGGATATCTAGTCCAAATCCATCTGCCTGTCCTCGTGTCCTGTTTCCACCATTCATATAATTTCCAAAGGCAAGAACCAAACCCAGGACCTGCATAACTCCTGACCCATTTTTCAGTGTCTAGAAAAGAGAAATGCTTTGTTCAAGCTCTCAGTAATATTTACTATCAACTAYGTTACTGACTATATTTGTTCAGTCAGATGGGTGATACCGAATTTAGATAATAGAAAAATAATTTTTATATTGAAATATAAGGAAATATTTTTTTAACACATATAGATACAGGAATGTCCATATGTGATTTGTTGTGAATGGAAGACATTATCCCCAAAAAATATATTTATGAAAAATGATACAAAAGTGTGAATCTCTACTCACACAAAATTACTTGGTATTAAGAGAGATGAGGAAAAAGAAGATAGTTGTTACCTAACTGATGCTGATACTTTGAATGATCTACTTAATTTAGGAACAGCTTCTACTTTGCATTCCTCAGAAACTCACATGAATCAAGTAAAAAATTTAATCAAAWTTTAAATGATTTAAATGGTAGAACAATTAAGCAAAATACTTAAGTAATTTCACAATTGAGGTCTATTTAATGAAATTTGCCTTTAAGAGTCACATACATTTTGCATGGGACCAACTGAACTAGAAACTATATCAGCTAGGGACAGCATTGCTGTCTAACTCATTTTAGTTATTGCAGTTACCAAACCAGACTCTTTAAGAATCCAGACAAAGACAGAGGGAAGCAAAAGAGCATTAATTTGGAAATAAGTCACATGGWGACTAAGAAGAAAGAAGATTTTACTTTGCCAAAAGGACAAGATTTTCCAGAGACTGATATACACTGACTACAAAAACATGATGTTATAGTTCAGTACCAAAAGTCAATCTTAAATTTGCTTTGATGTTGAAGTACAATCATAAAATGTTCCATTCTGCAGGACTGCTATCTTTCAGATTTAATGAGTACTTAAAGCAAATAAAGAGAAACTTTTGAAATATGAGTACAATTTAACAAGATTWAATGTCAGAAATTTAGCTCTACCTTTATTTAGAGCACAACCTACCTCACACAGTTTCTGCAACAATTCAAGTTTGCGACGAATTGAAGAAACGCTTTCTGAAAAAGTTGATTGGAACAGGATGCAAAATACACGTTCTGAAAAGTTGGGAATTAGCGAGAGTTCATAGAGGAACCTGCAGAAGTATTTAAAGAAAACGATTTAGTTTGCTCTCAGTAAGCATATACTTTCTCCCTCCTTACCCTCCACCCTTATAACGCCTCTAGTTAGTTTACTGTAATATGGAAAGGTTTCTGAAGGGAGTAAAAGTGTTCTTTTATAAATATGTTCTTACTGTTCAGGCTTATCCAGAGACTTGGCATTTTCTTTTTCCTTCGATGCTTTGCTATGCTTTTCTATTTTTTCCAATTCATCTGATTGTGCTCTCTGGAATAAAGAAAACAAAGTAATTAAAAAGTGTTAATTCAAAACCTAGCTAAACATCAGGGATAAAAATGCCTTTGTAACAAACAAAATTTATAGAATTTTATTTTCCATAAGCATCTGCTTATGGTGAAACTACTTAGCTCATGAAGTGATTTTAAGAATAAATACATCTGATGGGAAACAGAACATCTTCCAAATAATATTATTAATAGTAATCTGTAAAAGGTTTATTCATTGAACCATGCATTGAGACAATATTCATCCTACTCCCTTTTCCTTGGCTGTTTATAGCCCAGATGAAAGAGCTGCCTTCTTTCTTATATTTCTCTTTCCAAATCTGTTGGGTTACATTCAAATGCAATCTGATCCTTAAATATATATTTAAGTTATGTGCTTTTTTAAMTAAATCAAAATGGATTTTTAACACTGAAATTTAGATTTTATTTGGTATTTAGAAAAAGTAAGCTGATTTTTGAAGAACTACCATACACACTATAATTCATAAGAATTATTGCATACGACTTCTCTGGAGTAAAGTGATTTTCGCTTTTATCTTAATAAGTCAAAGCAATGACATAAATTGCTTAGTATTTTGGAGAACCCCATGGTAAATTGTGTAGTCTTTTCTTCAATATTCCAATCAGGAGAAACAGCCTTGCTTCTGTACTCTATGATACAATTATAATACAGGAAAATAGATGGCATGGAAAGGAATGAAAATGGAATAGAGATTTCTCCTTCTTGCTGTGTATTTTTTTTCACTTTGTTGTTTGTTTGTGCTTTTTTCCCCTCTTTAGCAAAACTGCTTCAGAACTTTTTTGATCATTTCAAAAAGTCTGGAAATGACTGTAGGCTCCCTCCATTTTTACTCAATGTTGTTGTGGATAGTCTTCCAGGGTCTCTACCTCTAAAATAGTCTGATCTTGGCTATAAAATACTCTGATAGATAGAAAATATTATAAACAATTGCATTCTTCATTTTTCAGCAATAAACCTTGCTCCTGACAATAGGATATGTCAGTTATATCTGTGTCAGAATCACAAAATGGTCAAAACTGTAATCTTCTAGTCAACCATGCAACTCAAAGCTGGGTCACCCAGAACAGGTCGGTCACCTAGGACCATGTATCCATCCGTCCAACCATTTTATTGGGTTTTTAATATTTCCAATGACTGAGATCAGTGAGTTTGGAATAAACTCTTCCTGTAAGATACACTTACAAGAAAGCCAGTCTCCCTTAACTATGTTAAGTTTACTATTCTGTTAATCGTGGAGAGAAAAAAAAATTACTAGATATGTCAAATTTCAAAAAACCTTGAAGAATCAAAGAAACAAAAGAAAAACAAAGAAAAGCATGCCTAATGGGAAAAAAAAATACATTTGACTGTGTATTAGACTGGCTTTTTTATGAATTCAATCGAATTATTTTTATTGCTTATGCTACTTAAAGTCTTTTAGTCTTTTACTAAATTTCTACTAAATACTTAATTACCATTTATTTAAAATAAGCCATTATTTTCATGGAAAGATCCAAAAACATATTTAATACTTTTTGTATTAAAATCCCAAGATACTCTTTGAGTATGGACTCCTCTGATTAAAATCAAATGTAAAGAACGGCATTATTAGCTATTACAGTCATATAAAATAAGTTTTAAAGATAATATAAATGAGTGGATTCTCCTAAAAAGATWCATTGATCACAAGATGTTGCATTTAAAAAATACCAATTATAAGGACAATAATTTTAACTCCTGAGGTCAACTCAAACATCATAAATTTGTTACAGTATCACCCAGTCTGTCCCCTTGCTCAAACAAAATCAGAACTCTACTCTGTTCTAAGCTTCTGTCTGTGGAACCCACAAGCTCTCCAGCAGTCTACTGCAGTCCTTCGCTATCCTCAGCATTTGACTTTTTTCCTAATAGTCTATGAAAATCTCGTATGCTACAATTCACTTCTTGTCCAGTGTAATTGCTTTTTTTTTTTTGAGGCAATCTATGTTCTCAGGCAAATGTCTCTGCTTTTTTATGGACAATTCCACTTTATTCACTTCTCTTTAGTAACCCTGGCTTTCTCTGCTCAAACACAGCGTTGCCCTCTCTCCCTTCTTTCAAGGGTCCACACCTTTCTTAGGCTACAACTCAAAAATAGGGAATTCCTCCCATCCTACTTAATGGTGTCTAGTGGAATGGAAGCATTTTTAATATACTACATATGTATWTAGTACATTTTTAAATAAAACATTGTCTAGTTCCAAACTCCAAGTAGAAAGCGAGGAGCCACAGTCACTATGTAACCTTTCATATATTTGCAGACCTGTATGATTGACAGTGCACGCTTTTCTTAAGTAGCTTTTCATAGAGCTATTTAGTTTATCTTCCCTAGTGTGTTTTTTTTTTTATGAGAACATTGTGTGAAACAGCGTCAAAGGACTTTCTAATGTCAAGATACATGGCATCTTCAGCCTTTTTGTTGTTATTACTCCTTTCAAAGCCTCTAATTCTGATATATTATGAAATGAGATTGGTTTGGCACAATTTGTTCTTGGCAAAGCCATAATGGCTGTTACTCATCCCATCTGATTGACTGAAGATAAGTGCTAGTAACTAATTGAGCTGCAATTTTTCTAGAAATTAGGTTGACAGAAACACAATTAAAATGCAAAATATCTACATTGTCATACAATGAACAAAATAGTAATTTGKTTTTTTTTTCAGGGTTTCTAAGTTCCCAACTGACCTCAGAAGCTTCTYGTTTATAAGTGCTTGTGGGTTCTGTTAGGAAAAAAGGCTTAAAACCTTTTGGATTTTATGTTAGAAGACAGGTGCAAATGAAGGAGTTCTCAGCATCTAAAATAGTCTCACCCAAAAGAGAGTTTAAAAAGGAAAAAGGAAAAAGAAAAAAAAAATATATAATTTTTTCTTTTCAGAGCAGTGAAAGCTCCCATGTGAAACTCTTGGATGCGAACTACCAATTTTAGAAGTCTGAAAGGTATCAAAAGAGGTAGTGTGACTAACTCTTAAAGTATCCTTTTTTTTTTTTTTTTTTTTTTTTTTCTCCCAGAAAGGATAGTATTTAGAAATATTTCAAAATAGTTAGAGAGAAATGTTTTGGCAAAGGAGCATACAGCTCAACAGTTATTTGCCGGTTCTTTAGAAATATTAAATCAGACTATTTCCTCTTCTGGCCTTCCACACATAGTGAAGTAATTGAGTGCTTATCAGAGCAATCTATTACACACATAGATGATACACTGTTCATGTTTAATATTTCTCTATTGAATTCCAGGGACAAAGGTTAGGCAGATTCACTGTTCCTTATTCTAAGATTGTATATGTGAAGAAAATAATAAATAGCAGAAGAACAAAGGCTAAGTATGAGCCACTCATGGGAGGCTTTTTTTCCTTGAGGAAAATTCAAGAGTTACAGTTTACGGTATTCATCATGTAAGAGGACCAAGTATATGATGCCTGTTTAATGTTCAGAACCCAAATTGTATTTCAATCCATAAATTTACCTCTGCTATCCAGAATTCTGATGTGTATTTTCAACTACGATAGAGGAGAAGCAACAAGAGACCTCTCACAAGTATTACTTGAGATCGTTGCTCAAATTTATTCCTGCTAGCTTGATTTTGTCTGATTAGTGTTCATCTATTCCCTRTTTAGCAGATGAGTTAAATGAATTGAATGAATAAATACAAGTCTTTCTATCACTTTCCATTTTGTACTGAGAACACAAGCAATAATTACTTCTCAAAAAATTCATTTATCTAATTATACTTAGCACCTCTCTGAAAGCCAGTGCTATTTCTTTATCTTGAATTKCATCTATTATATAAGATCACAAATAGAACAAAAGAGTATAATATGCATGACTTATAGTAAGCACATCTAAAACAGTCAAAACACAGATAGAAGTGCTTCAAAAATACTTTGCATTAGATTAATGGAGTATACTTATGAGCATAGGTAGTACTAAGTTTAGGGTAGTGTTGATTCTTTCATTTTGCAATTTTTACACTTCCTGGTTTTCCCGCAATACAGCGCCTTAACTCTGAACATGAAGCAATTACTGGGCTTTGCGTGTGTCWTGTGTGTGTGAGCACATGCATGCACATGTGTGAGTGCACATGCGTGATTATGGAAATTAATGTAGCATTTCAAAAGCAAAGTGACTTTAAAGTTCTAAAAAATATTTTCAAAAATAACTGAAACAACAGGGATATGCAGAGATGCCTAGGCTAATCGTAACTACAATATTCCTTACAAGTTGGGTCACGTACAAGAAGTCAGAAGGTGCAATCAACAGCTTTTGAGGAAAAACAGTCTTTTTTCTTTTTGTAAAAATTGACAAATTTAAAACCTTTGGAAATAATTTAGGGTAAGGTTTGAATCTTACTGACATAAGGAAGACGTGCTCTTCAGACCTGTAGGTACCTTCTGTTCTAAGATAGGATTTGGGTTTTCTTGAAAATATCGACCAAAATCACTTAAAGACAGTGATAGAACAGAGGCTACTCATTTTCCTCATATAAATGCTTGCTTGCCTGCAAACACACAAGGYCTAATAACATATCATGAAATTATAAAACTCTATTAAATGTTATCTACCTTTTTTTCTCTTTAGTGCTGCTATGTGACAGATCTTAAAAAATTTGTAGGGACAACTTTCACATTGTAGCAAAATAAACAAAAATCAAAAATTCTAAAATGCATAGGATAAAATACTTTTAAATATCGTATAGTATAACAAATATAAATGGTTCTTTCATCCACAGAGTCCGTACAGAAGTTAGAACGAATGAAAATTTAAAAATTACTGCTATGCTAAACTGGTAAAATGAAATAAAGCTCCTGAAAGGTAAAATACTGTTAGATTGTCAATGCACATTTAAATCGTTTTGTGAGGAAAACTATAGAATCATATGCAAAAACTATAGTAGATAATAGTAGTATTAGTAGAAGATAAKGCTGCAGTATCCAAGTCTCCCTTACTAATGAGTTAATATCAGTTAATATTACTRAACTATTAAGAACTTTGGTCTTTGGTGGAGTGGGGGTCTCTTCATTTATAAAAAGTCACGAAGATGTATACAATAACTATGTGGTTTAACAAGACTTTAATTCCTCAGTAAACAGGAATTGAGCCCATGGGATTGTGGCTTTTGAAATTATGGTGTGTTTAGGCTTGGAGACTGCCCAAATTTCATTCACATTTAAGAAGGCAAAGAACCATGCCAGACATATGCAATCAGGAAAAAAAGATTACATTTTGACAGAGGACTGTAAAACAAATGCTCCCATATGTTCCATAGAGATCAAATAGAAAGGCTGAGCAGCAGGGATATTTAAATATCTAAAACAACAACAACAAGACCCAACTTATAAAYGCTAAGAATTAAAAATTGAGTTAATGGCTAGAAAGTAAGAGAGTGTGTCAGTAGTTATTTACATTAAACAATGCAGAATGAGGTTGAGAAATAAGGGAGGTGTCAAACTGGTACCACCAAATCCCTCTGGTACCACCCACTACTATTTTTTTTTTCACCAAATTGAACAGCATTGTGAAGCATCCAAGAGATGCCAAAAGCCTGGAGTGCAAGGTCTGATGCATACTGACCAAATGCCAGCCCACCCAAAAGAAAGGACAATAAGAGAATAGCTTGAAAGGAAGAAAACAAAAATAAAAATAAAAAGGGTGGAGTGGAGGGAGGTAATGGTTTCTTTCAAATCATCCCTTTACAAAACAAATGAACTAAGATTAAAATAAAATCCAGGTACCCTAAAGATGCTCTCCCAAAAAGAAAGATGTTGCTCTTTGTTTTTACTTTCTTGTGCCTAAGTTAATACAGTAATAAAGTTGTGCTGATATGTCTTACATTCCAAACCAAGAAACCATCCAAATATTTCTAGCATTGCCYGAGATTAACATACAATATTTTCTCAATCAGGAAAATATTTCCTAGAYGTTTTCTGTATTTAAGGAATAAAAGAAATAATAGTATTCTATTATTCCAGTGAATTTCAAAGTAATGCATTACACTATCATTTAGAAGTACAGCAYAGGCAAAATGGAGAATCTATTTGAAAAGTTTCCTATTAGCACAAATGTAACRTGAAAAATTTAATCCGCAAAAAGTGATCATAAGGACAGTATCCACACTGAACTTTTCAGGACAAAATCTCTCATACACTTGCACATGCAATATATAAAACGACTTAAGTGTTTTGTATTCCACATTTGTGGAATGGAATATAGTTCTGCTATGAAAGGAGCAGGGAAAAATTAAGGGGAAAAAATCATACAGGTCCATACAGCAATTCTATGACATAAGGATGGAAAACCTTTAAAGCAAAGATTTCAGGATCAGCTTGCTGACTGGCCATTATCTTCCTGAGTAGTGTCCAGTAAGTTTTGTCAAGAAGTAGTAGTGCTTCCTAATACTTATGAGATAGTTAAAATACCTTTTTGGTATTTTCTGTAAAGACAACTCATTCTTACAATCTCTTTATGCCCCAAACTGAATTATTTATGAGAAATTTCATAAACCAATARATCATTCTGTAATTGGCCATAAAAAGATAGTGTCCAAAAACCATAGATGTGAAAGGTATAAAAATGATGAATATATTATTCAAATGATAACATGAGGGAAATAGAAGAAAAGAAAAAGAAAAAACAAAAAAAAACGCATGCACGGGCCTTCAATGCTATTCTCCTCCTCACAGCTTTAAGACTTTCAGATTCTTTGAAGGGCCAACAGAAAGTCTTTTCACTCTCCTTGGAGATGTCTTGCTCCTGAAGAAGCAATGTGCTTAGGGAGAATGATGCCAAATGGTCTCAGATGGGGCCTGAAACATGCTCTTTTTGACACCCTTCTGACATATACATTTTTCGAGTTTAAGTGATTAACTTTGTGGAGTTTTGGAATGTGCCCTAGTATATACCTTAGGATTCTTGATTATGAATACCTAATAATCTTAGGATGTTCTCAGATGTACCTGAGCTTTATGAAGCCCCTATAGTTTGCTTTTTTTTTTTTTTTTTWAATTATTAGATTAACCTAGAGTAAGCCTGAAATGGTAGCAATTCAAAGCTCCACTTCCTCAAATGGAATGATTACTGTTATTAAAACTAATGCTCTCTAATGTTATATTAGTGAGGCTACCATGGGATGTCAATGGTCCTAAATGATCAGTATGCATTAGATCTTGCAAAGACTGCTGCATCCAGAAACAAAAGGCAGAAAAAGAAGAGAGACTGTGAGCACAACTAATCTCTATTCATTTAGAACTTGACTAGGTTGCTTAAAACGTATGCACTTTTCATACAGATTCTGAATCTTTTAAAATAAAACACGATTAAAAAAATGCACAATGGCAACTAACACAATTCAGTTCCTTATTACTATTTTCACTGCTTTAGACAAAATTAAGCACTTCAGAATAGGGCATAATCTTCATTTTTTTTTTTTTTACTGTTACTGATGCAAAGCAAAATACCTTCACATGGAGATACAGTATTCCTATATTAGGTAGACAACTTCTTCTGATTACTCACATTCTCATAGAGGGCTTGAAGGGTCTCTAGGTCAACCACAGAGTTGTCCAAGTTCACAACAGCTATGAAAAAGACAAAAGTAAAAAAGACATAGTTGTCAAGATGATAATCCAGCTGCGAAAGAAACACAATACCCAGCAACAGTTTTTATGACCTATTGGTCATGCGGCTTAAGGGTTTTCACTTTATTAATGCCTTGAAGAGAGCCGTTCCTAACATTATGGCTAGAAACCTCGTGGAGCCAGGTGTCAAGTGCTAAAGAATTCACCTCCCTCCCCCAAATATGCATAAATGATCCCACGAGCACGGCCAAAACCAGAGATCAGAGATAAGCTTTACATTAGACTTTCACGGTCTGACTGAAAGTATTATAAAAATTTGTAAATCTGCACCGCAGCCACACACACATAACAAAGCTCATTCCTGTCACTGGTTGGCTTCAGTCTTAAACTGATTAATCCATAAGTCAGCCAGTTAACTTCAAGACATCTGACAAGGGTCAAGTCTTCTATGCACTAAGCCGACAGGTTTAGTACAGATAGAAAATATGCCTTTCCTGTTCCCAACGAATTCTGGTGCCACACACATACTGTATTTTTTTCAGTGTCAAAATCTGGTTCTACAGCACAGAGAGGGTAATTCACACCTAGCTAACCTTGAGGAATAAAAAAAAAATTAAAAAAAAAAATAAAAAAAAAAGGAGGTGAGGAAGGGTGGGGTAAGGGAAATAAGTGTTAGGAACACAATTTGCCTCCACACTAATAGGAACGCTATATGAAACACAGAAATGTTTATGCAGACTGATGAAAAATATTCTCATGTAATATAAAATTATTTTAATTTTTTTTAACATATTAGTGTAGTTTTCAGTCTTTCTTTTATATATATATTTACAAGCATATGGATAATAACCTTTAATGGTTGGACAAATCTGGTTTTGCTCATCCAGATTTTGAGTCTTGAAGAAAATTTAGAGTTCTAGAGTTCTTTAGGAAATATGTGCTAGTTCTGACTGTTTTGACCGCGCTTTACCAGTTTTTCCCATCTTACCCTTCATTAAATTGCATTGTGTTGGGGTATACTTGAGCTTGTACATGTGGTAACTAGAATAAGCCCCTAGACAAGATTAATCTAGAAACTGCAATGTTGATAATTCATGGAAACCCAGTGTTCAGTTTCTTTATCTCCTTATAAATCCATGTCCTTAACTGTCACAGAGAAATTCTGTGTATACACCTAAAGATTACAGACAATATAATTCAAGCTCATTTGTTTCTGATTGCTTTAAAGCATTCAGAGATACCACTCTGAGTCTGGGACTCATCACATTTCTTCTTCCCAGGCCTGAGGCATAGTTTTAGTTACTGCATAAGAACATTATAAACAATGAAGTGTTGATCCTGATTAAACTAAGCAGGATACACTATAAGCAGGGTGAAAACTAAATTCAGGAGTGAAATCAAAAATAATTTGGAAGTAACAGAATTTCCTGAAATAACAGTAATAATAATTTTTCCATTTTTCCTTTAGTCCAGAGCAAGAGAATCTGAAAGAAAATAGCAGTTAAACAAGTTAGGGAGCACCATGTTTTATTTCAGGGGATAGGATCTATTCAAAAATCTGCTACTAAGTATTTGGCATATTTTAAAACTTTTGCTGTTGTTCTTCAGAGATAAGTGTTATAACAGAAACAAGGATGCTTTTTCAGCAAGGTATGCTAGTGCATGTCATATTTGATAATCCCTTGTTAAACAGGACTGTTAGTATACTTAAAATATGCTAAATTTACATTTTGGAACTTGAAAGTAAACAACCAGTAAAGAAAAACTGGGTCTAGATCAGTGCTGGTTCTCTTCTTTAAGCAAACATACACATCAAAGCATATATAACAACAGTGTTATTAAAATCAGGTTATATTATGAAACACAGTTTGTATTACTGCTCCCTTTCAGCATTTTAATCTCATGCAATATTTTATATATAAGCATGATCACCAAAATTGCAACCCTTCAGCTCTATTTTGACTTACTGGCTGCATTCTCCATGCCCTTAAGTACCTTCCCCCACTTTGAGAGTGTCTATCCCTGCACGAAGAAATACGGCGTAAGCTCCTGTTCTGACTTTTGCTCAATGTTAAGATCACCCATGGATTACTTAGGGAGCAATAGAACACTTTTGTTTGAATGCTTGCACGAGATAAGAGAATGCCTGGCAAACACAATGGTGCCAGGTTTGTGTACTTTCAGCAAAACAGGTATGCAGAAGAGTGCGCATACTTCAGGGAGCTGCTTAAAACAAATCAGTCTGAGACAAGGACTTAAAGAAATTAGATAGTATATATACATTTTGAGATCTTAAAAAAAAAAAAAGGATAAATATTTCTAGAGAGAGATGCACATGCTCATAAATAACACTACCATCCTACTAGGATTTTAAAACGTTTACTGTAGGAAATTTTCATGGGAAATCAATAACTGAAAAAAAAAATCATAGGTCACTTCTCTCCCTTGGCAATGCTGCAACAYTGCAATGTAGAACACAATGGTGGTGAAATAAAACTCCACTATTACATACTTACATTTCATTATCTAGACAATTAGAACTGATAAAAGGCAATAATGTTTTCTTATGCAGCCAAGCTAAACATATATATGCTTGCATCCATCAGTGTGACTGCACAAAACAGACTTAGGTATTTAACCCAAGGATTCCATATGCACTGGCAAAATGGTAATGAAATATATAGACAAACATTAATTTCCACCATTTCCAAATCTATCCAAATCCACAAACAAATATGCACAGATCTAAACTCACAAATGAACAATCCGATTATTCTTTATCACTGTCATATATCCTTTTTTATGTGTTTATATGATATCCACCTACTACAAAGGGGGCAGTTTGAGACTATAAAGCTCAGATGAAAGACAGGGACACGTTTCAGCAGACTTATAGCAAATATAAAACCTTGTTGCCTAGTTACAAGAAATTTTTATCTTGTTTAAGCTTTATTGATATTCTTATTTTTTGCCACAATTTATATGGAAATTGTAACTACTATCTTTGGAAAAATATATCTGTTTATGTAATTGGAGAAAAATGTAGAAATTTTAGCAAAATAGAAATTTTTCCAATTCAATTCTATATTTCTAAAATATATGCTGTAAAACAAATCTGGCTAATCAAAACTTAGGYGTTCTAAGAATAATTATCCGAAACATTTGGATTCAACTTTAATGTCATAAAGCTCACTAGTAGAAACTCCCTAACACAAGGATTTCAGAAGACTGGTGTTTTTCAGTATAAACCTTTTTCCTCTCATGTCTTTTTTTTTTTTTTTTTTTTTTTTTTTTTTTTTTTTCCCCCCCCTTCCCTTTTTCTTTTTTCCCCTCCCACCCAGCAAAAGATTAAAATTAATATAAAATCCACACCTTTAGCATTTAAAAAAAAACTTCCTATGCTTTTGTGTCTTAGGACCCTATCCAGAAGTGAGTGTCCTCTTCTTGAGGCTATACAGAAGCACTACTGTCTTTCCAAACTGACTGAGAACCAAATGCCATTTGACTGATAAGAGATTACAGGTTAAATGCCTCAGGGACAAGCATTTGCTGAAGCAAAAACATCTTGATTTTCCAGAAAGGTTTCTGAACTAGTCTGTATAGTCTGCTATACTCAGATCCATACTTTGACAAGGGAGGACTGGGAGGAAGGGATGGACAACTCCTCCCGCTTCTATGATCTTCATGCTATTTTCCACCACAACTATATTCCTCTTCCATGACTCACCAGAAACTAACTGGTATCCAAGAGGCCATTGCTTTCTTCCTCCTGCACAATTTTGCCTCTCAGCTTTCACCTCTGCTCTGTTTCTACAGAAGAGCCACCAGGAACACCTTTTTCCCCAAATCTTCAACCTTATGTCAAATGACAGCAGCAGTTACTTCAATAGGTCACGAGGGCAGACTGATTCTTCTGCTCTGAATGMAAGGCTCCCCACTCGTACAGTAGAGACTCTAGTAGAGATGTTTAATCAGTCAGTCACATATGGGGCCCAGATGTGGAGGTTTCCAGAGTTCTGCCAGCATGTGACTCATATCAAAGAAAACTACAGGATACTTAAAGCTTACAACTTCTAAGTTGAGGTACCTTTCCTCATTCCCATCCACAGAAAACTCTGGTCCATATATTCCTATCAATCATAAATTAATTAAACCATTAATCCCCCAGGAATAATCACATCAAGTTGAAGACTGAAAAAAAAAGAAAACAAACAAACAAAAAAAAGAAACAGAAGATACAGAAAAGGCATCAGCCAACTTATAAATCAGCTTATAAGAATTATAAGTTTTAAAAAATCATGCACTAAATCAGTACACTGTTTTGAGGCAGAACTAGAGCACTAAATGTCATTCAAGCTTCGGAGGCATTTTTAGTAACTGTATCTTAAGATTTTATGCACTATTTTCAAAATGTTGTTTCTTTGTTCAACTGACGGAGGAATGGAGGACCTCCTTAACAGACATCTTTGGAATACAAGATCATTTGTGTATTAAAAGTGCAAGCAATACACAAACAAAACTCTCAACATGCACAATCTCATCATGAAGTGACTGACAGATTGTTTAATTCAGAAGTAGAACAGAACTATCTTCCTCAAGGCTCTTAAAAGAGACAAGAAAGCTTTACAAGAAGGTCAGAGTACAGTGTCTTTGCTGTTATAAAAATTATAGCATGATGTAGTATTAAGCTACATGAAAAATAAACCCACAACTAAACTCAACTAAATGTTAAGATTTAAAAATCTGCAAAATGCCAGGAAAAGCATTTAAGTCTTTTCATAGGTTACACAAGAAGGACACAGCTTCAAAGATTGCTATTTGCTACTGTACTTTTCCATGCAGAGTTGTCTGTATCACCTAACATGGTCCTTCTGTAAAAGATCGTTTTTTCCTCTGTGACGTTTCCAACAACTTGACAACTCGTCTTACCCTATTGCAATTTTTCAGCATAAATAACAGAAATATGAATCTCCTAATGCTGAAGACTAAATCCCAACTGA